AAATATTATAAGAATGGATAGGACATCGGGATTATCAACTGGTAATAAAGTGATACATTTTTTGAGGTTATAAGGGTTACTAGATATTGAACTTTCTCTCTTCTCCAAAAAAACCTCAACCTCTCGCGAAGCCAATATAGGCGTTTCCTATCCATTCTTATAATCTTAGTCCGTGATATGATATATGATATCAGATAACAGGTAACGAAAATTACAATATTATATTATGTCATTATACAAAAATAATAAATAATAAACGCTGGTATATGCTATAAGGTATTTTCGGTAATTACCGAGGTACGGTATTTTCAGTAATAATGGTAATAACCGAATCACGGTATACCGGTATTCTGAATACCGAAAATACCGGATACCGGTAATTTACTATCGGTACACCCTAAAATACCGCCAGCCCTAGGTTAAAGTGGTGGACACATATTTTTACTAAATTACAGACCAACGTGCGTTATTCTCAAGCCCAAATAAAAAATATAAATGCTCGTGTCGAGTTTCCACTCATCAAAAAAATTCTAATTTTCCAGTATAACGTTATAAGAACAAGGCGATTGCCTCCAGATTCATAAGAATCAAAAATTACACGAAAGACTTCCATATCCGCGAAATCCATCATTATTTATTATTTATAAAACACTATGTCCATATTATAACTCAGTAGTCAGTACTAAAATTATCACATAATTTATTATATCCATCGTACGTCCCAATAATATGATCCGCCCATACAACATAATACCCAAGACTGATTTGTTTCTTCTAATATTCATAAAAAAAAAACAACAATCGTTTCAATGATGTCTGTTATACAGTCGTCTCGGCAAGGACTTTAACTACCTATACATTTATACGTATAATATACAGCATACACATCCGTAACGGAGTTTTGGAATTAAATGCTGTGGCGCCCGGCAGATGAGAGACAAATGAACATTTTCCGTGCACAGTTTTTTTTTCACTCAATTTATTCTTATTTTTGTTTATGTTGGCGCCGGCTTTGGTTGTACCGGCGGAAAAGTTACTATATACACGTACTACACGGCTATACGGTTTTTATTTCCATGTACGATGTGTCGTACGCGTGGATATATTAATGTTGAATAATATTATGAAAAAACACGCACTATGGAATAGAAAAAAAAACAATTATCCACCCTTTTAAATGAATAAAGCGACGACGCACGAAATTCCCTGACGTCTATCTCGTCCCTTTGCGTTTCCAAAAGCCCTACGGAAAAATCCACCACCACCGCCAAGAGCAAAAATTGTCCGATCCTCCGATGACTCGGTATCTGTGTACAACTTGACCCGTAACCGCACTTCAAGTCGCAACACTTCGTTAACGCCTGTCGTTTTAGTTGCTCGTCTGAAAATTGGTTAAGGGGCTCATAGAATAGTTCACTATACAATCGTTTTGTATCTTCCCACTGATACCATATTTTTTGGTATAACAATTTAAATTAACAATCACAAGCTTAAGCCACATATTATATCGCTAATAATTAATTATTGTTTTTAATAGAACGTGACTCTAGTATTATCAGACACGAGTATTATCCAACAACAAAAAATAACTTCACAATTGCGATAATTGCATGTTTCCATTAAATGCAGGCAAAGTAAAACACACCATAATAATATTCTGCTAGTACCTACGGTCCAAAAAATTTAAATCTACAACATCACCTGAAAATATGACTAAAACATGATGAAAAGGCTGTTAATAATAAATGGAACAAAAATCTAAAACAAACAATCAAGGCAATTTATTTTAATCCTTTCGTTAAACACCTCAATACAATTTTTTTTCAATTTTTTTCAATGGAAATATGGATTTTAAATTAATAATGATTTAAGATGCTATAATGTCTAAGTGGTAACTGTTTTATATGGTACCACTTATTAGTAGTTATTACCATCATCTGGAAACTATCTGGTTATGCACATGATCACAAATCACAATATATGTTGTACTTGAATTTTAGACATTAATAGAGTTTTCCATTTTACCAATATTTTGTGACCCATTCTGCTGTAATGTTTTATATTCAATTTGTATGTAACTGTATAATAGTACCGTGCACTCATTGTAAAGTACAGTTGGTGCTCACAAACCGTTCTTACCAATTTTATAGGTGCAATTACAATTACTAATTGTGAACTGTTTTTCTCCATCACAGAGCAATAATAATCATGTAAAAATATTATTTGTTATTAATGTTTATGAAAACATAGAATAAAACATTAAGTTAGTTTAGTTTATTTTACCAGAATAACACAGAAAACATAATATTTTCGTATTTGATTCCAAAACGTTAAGTGCACTTTTGGTGAAATCGGGTAGTGTCAGTGGAATTATTTCAGAACACACTCTTATTGTAAAATCTAAAACTCTGTAAAGTATGAGTTATACTTGGAAATATCAAGTCACCATTTTGATGAACACTTAGACAATCTTAAAATTAGTTAATATAATATTATGAATAATCTTTATTCTATACTTGTCCGTTCAATACGAATACTATCTTATTCTTTAGAACATAGTATAATATGACTAATATGAGTAGGTAAATTATTAATGATATAGAACAATATTGAACAATAGCAAAACTAATGTTTATGATTAATATTATTTTAATTTTACTAGTGACCGTGTACTATACTTACATCAGTTTTATTACTGAATGACGTCTCTCATCAATCATTATAGTTAATAATATTTATAGGTACAACACCTATTATGTAAATTAAATTTTAAATTTGCATAATATAACATATCATATTGTGTATTCAAATATATTGTATACTAAATACTTAATTTTAATAAACAAATTATTCAATCAAATTAAAATAAACTATAAAGAGATAAAATAAATCTTGTTATAGTATGATAATTCAACAAAATTATACAGCCCAATTTGGAAACCTATGACACAGAAAATGTTTGATTTAACATAATATCAATTTTCAATATAGCTAATATGAACTCAGAATTCCTTGACATGTCAATGTTTAACCATCTCATTTATAATTTGTCTGTCTAAAATAACTTTATGAACCAACTCTTCTATAAAATCACCAAAACAGTTTGTAAGTTTATACATTTAATGCATGTATTGTAACGTAAATTCCATTATATATTATATACACAAATTTATACCAGCACATTGCACAATAAACAATATCATAATACATTTTTTAAATATAAAATACGTGATAAAAATCATTAGGTAATTATTGTTCAATGTGTACAGGTAAATGTGCACCTATAGTTTACACTATCAGCCACCAGGTGGTATGTCCAAATAATGCCAAATGGGACCCTGCGTAATGTAATATAAGTGTAATGTAATATTCGTAGTGTCACAATAATAATGATTTTTTTGTTATAAAATTCCAAAATGTTGTTTTTATTTTAATTTACTTGACAACAATATTACGATAGGGATGCCATACGTCCCGTATTATACGGGAACGTCCCGTAATTCATGACAGTGTCCCGGTGTGGCGGTGTCCCCGTAACAGATCCAATATCGTAAAAATGTCCCGTATTATGAAATTCTCGTCCCGTATGTCCCATAAAAATAGAATACATTATTGTTTAATATTTGCATATATATTATATTCAAAATGTGTTTTCAAATGTCGAGACAAAAATATTTTTAACCACCGATTGACTGATAACATATTATTAACGTAAATGTTTCCGGTCTATGCGTTCCTATTACTTACCGTTCGGTAAACAATTTGGAATCTGCTTCCTAACATCAATACCCAAAGTCAAGATTGTGAATTACTGCATACTCGTTTCTTATCAGTTATCACTTATCAGTTATTTAGTTTTCAGTTATTCATAGTTTTCATTTGAATTTTATAGATATTTATTTAAAAAAATAAATATTTTGTTCCTATCGTTTCTGTTCTTAGCCTAATATTTTTTTATTATAAACTCTAACAATAGCAACTATGCCTAAAGTTAAAAAAAAGTGCGTTTTAATGAAAATTTACATTTTTTATTTAACTAGTTATTTTTCTTAATTGTGAAATGTTTTATGCCATATTTTTATATGGTTTCTTAAAAATCGTTTTTTCACAAAATAAACTGTATAACACTTATCAGGCTCTAACATACTGGGATGGTAGGTACCCAAAGGCCAACGTTTCAATACCCCCCCCCCCCAACCATAATTTAATTTTTTACAGTATTGTCCCGTATTTTTTATTTTGAAATCTGGCATCCCTATATTACGAAGTAGAAAAAAATTGTATTTATAAGGTACATTGTACAACGTATACCGACGATACCCGATGGACGATTGCGATTCGATTAAACAAAAACGTATTAGACGAAAAACTAAAATTGAAACTATCAAAAATAACACTGTTTGGATAGCAAAAAGTAAAGTCTAATTTCACGTTTTTTCGGAATAAATTTGTCCTATAATTTCATGATTAACATATTTTTTTCAAGGACAAACGTCATAATATTACAATCTCATTATTGGAAAATTGTATACTATTCAAAGTTCAACAACATATTTTGTGTATTTCACTAATATTGGCGTCAATTTGGTTATAACTTATAAGTTACTACTGAAAATACTGAAATTGGCACTTGGGTACAAGAAAATACTTTTATAAAATAAATTGTTGGTAGATATTGAAAAACTATAAAATATTTTTATCTAAAGTACCTATTGCAATATCTTTTACATAGCCGGAGCCAGAAGTGTTGTTCAGCATATGCAGAATCTAAATCGGCCCACCACTAGTAGGGGAGTAGAATGGGGAGGGGGAGCTAATTCATAAAATCGCAAAAATATTTTTAATAGTCACTTTATATTTAATAATAATTAATATTGAAGTATGTTATAAAAATATTATAACTACATTACTTATGTCATATTGTCATTACTAATAATAATAAAAAAAATACATACATACCTATTAATAATATTAACGTAAATAAACGTTACTCAAAATTATTATAATGACATTCGTCTCTTAAAATCTACCGCTATTATAAAATCGTCTATAACAGCATCAGCATCAACATTGACTGCCATTTCTTGCTCTACTGTCAATACCACCAAAGCATTCAATCTTTCTTGCTTCATGGTAGATCTTAATTTGGATTTGACTAGGGTCAATTTAGAGAAAGACCTCTCACAAGTACAACTTGTTTCTGGGATCACTACAAACTTTTGAATTACATTAAAAAATTGGTTAAAGTATTTATAATGGTCATTAGACTTCAGCCAAATTAACCATTCATGGATTTTACTTTTATTACTGAAACTGTCTTTATTTGGAATCGTAGAATTATTTGTTATTAGCATTACTTCTATTTCTAGTTTTTCACTATCACATTGAAACGTTTTTGATAGATATGATAGGTCTGTTTGCGATATATCCATATTTAGTAAACTATCAACTGCATGTATAGCTTGTATAGTGTCCTGGCTAAATCGTTCATCAATACTATGAACCATCACTTCTATCATTAGATAAAAGGCTGTTATTCTAAGTTCCGATTCTTTAGTTTCTTGAACAAATTGTGTTTTGTTACTGTCTATGTGAGAAGAGATTTTTCTTTTATTAATTAAAGGAATTGGAACATCCAATTCTTTACATATAGATACACTTGTATCAAATATTTTTTTTTAAATATTCTTCTGTTCTTATTTATAAAAATCAATTTTTCAGTAGTTCTGTGGAAATCATATTGTTAATCCAATATTTAAAATGTATTATGTAACCTTTAAATTATAGCAGATTTTCGGGGCGATCAGGGCGTGCAGCTGCATACCCTGCACGCCCTGTGGCTCCGCCTATGATCTTTTAACATAAATGTTTGGAACTACAAATTGACAGTATATATTTTCATACCTACTGTTATACTTACATTTTTATGCGCTATAATACGATGTATAATATTTCACATTACTAACAAACATTATATAATTATTATATTTTATTCTTTACATTCGTAAGTATGTATTAATTGTATAAATATTTCACTTGAACTACAAGAACTAATGATGGTTTACTAATTAAAAACAGTCAGAAAATAGTAAACAATCAATCAATTTGTAAATGTAATAATTAATTTACACTGTTCTGAATCCATAGAGTTTCTTATCGATATTTAGGTACATTATGGACTGTATTTTTCGTGAGCCAGACTATAATTACCACTTATCAATATTTCCTAAACTATTATAAATGTTTATTTTTAGCGTTGATTTTTTAATATTATATTAATAAATTAAAGTTGTTATTAGACTGTAATTAGTTGTGTCTGGACAGACGTCCCACATTATTGAGTATTGTCTCAATTTTTAAATCTGGGTCCCGCTTTTTTAACAGTCCCGGTTGTATGCCCCACCATTTTTTTTTTTACTTTTTTTGTTTGATAAAAATAAATATTTTGAACCCATGATTTTTGTTACGAAATATTAAGTAACCATTTATCATAAATTACAATTATAAAGTTTTTTTTAAAGTAGGGTTGTATTGTGGTGGTGGTAGGGTTTTTGAAGTGGTGGGTTTTTACACGTGAGTGTTTGTGTTTGTCAGAATTTTTGATTGGGCACCCGGGTATAGGTATCTGCCATGCCCGGGTGAGGGATGGTGGCAGTTGTTCTCCGGACACCGTGAATTGCCCAAAGAAAAATGCCGCCCGTGACCAAGGAATCGAAGTCGAACCGGCGCCGGCCGCGTCGCAACCGACGCCTTAGCCCGCTCGGCCACTCCGTCCCTCCAATTATATAGTATATTATTATGTTTAATAAAAAGTAATACGGGGGACGAGGTGGCCGAGCGGTCGGACACGTCGTCTGCGGCGCTGGCGGTCGCGGGTTCGATCCTCTCGACCACTGGGCGGTATTTTTCTCCGGGCAAGTCACGGTGTCCGGAGAACAAGTGCCGCCATCCCCCACTCCGGGGCATGGCAGAAACCTACGGGTGCCCCATTCAAAATTCTGCCAAACCCAACACACACGTGTTCCTCCCCCTACCGACATAACAACACACAAATAAAACCACTACAGCTAATGGCCATAGTTGCCGAAGCTTAAGATCAATAAAAAAAAAAAAAAAAAAAAAAAAAAAGTAATACTTAAATGTTATTTTACTGTTTAATTTAAATATTTTATAAAAGTCAAAATAATTAGCGTTCCTAGCAACTAAATAATAAGTATTAAAATTAATGTTCTATAATTGTATCCAATAGATTTAGGACAGTTTTAATTAATTTTAGAAAGTGTTCCCCATTTGGACAAGGGAATTTATAATCACTGTATCACACAAGTTATCCATTATCAGACATTTCTGTCTCTGAAAAATATATTTTGTTCATTTTCAATTTGGCCATATAATTATTGAACAAAATATACTCAAACTACCTGTAGTGCTGTACAGTATAGTACTTACCTACGTCGTATTACGGTTGACGAACTCGCTAAAATGGACAAGTATAATAATAATAATAATAATAGGTCCCTCGTACCTAATTAAGTGCACACGAGGCAATCAAAATAATGTTTTATAATTTTATCGGTTTTATACTTTTATCAAAATACTTAATACTTACGGTATTTGAATCGGTGATTTTCTGTCCTTGTCTAACTTAATATTATGTGGAATATAGAAATTTAGAAGTGTTTTCATTCCAACGTACCGATTGATATAGTGAAGCGATAAGATATAAGATAACAGATTGGAATTTTTCGTCAAGTCTACTTGAGATCGACTTGGACAGGTTTTTAATTTTTTGATTTTAACTTCTCCAAACATTTTAATATTCTATTTCCTTTTTTAGTACGAACATTTTTAGGATTTAGGGGAATAAAATTGCAGCGATATTCGTTAATCCGTTCAAATCTCAGGTACCTATGCGGCTATACAAAACACAAATTGAACATAAAAATATAAAAATATAAAACAAAAATCGTGTAATTATTATTTATCAAAAATGCTTACGAAATTAATATAAAATAAAAATCCTTTTTTTTCTTTCCAACCTACAACATTTCACGTTTTCGACAATAATTCGGTACGTCAATAATTATTACTCTATTTGATGTGCACTGTTAACAGTTTACACTTGTATTTATTCTTTGTTTAGTATTGTATATTATTTTGTATAGAACACTTAAAACAATCGATACTTTTGTAGTTTTGTAACGAAATAACAATTAATACAGCTGCTCTCAATATATTCAAGGTCTTATCGGCGTGTATTTTGGCCGTTCGGGGCTATCTACCTAAATGCAATTCTATGGGTTACACACCACAAGCGTTTGTGTAAAAGGTTTTTGGCGGGATTTTGTTGTTTAAAAACGTGCTGAACGAGATTTAACATTTTTTTTTTTTTGCGCAACGTTAATACGCAAGTCAAGGTCCTTCACACCAGCCCGCCAGGCGCCAACAATGTACACACAAATAACTCATTTGGCTCTACTAAATCCGCAAAAATGATCACTCCTTGGCTAATGGTTGTCGTCATTATACTATAATAGCCGAGGATCACAACGTGTCAATAAATTGTAAGGGGGACCAAAAGTAAATAAAACAAACCGAATAAAACCATCGATCATCGACTACCAGCTTGCTTATTTTACCTCAACAATTAACGTTCGAAGCTCGCGATGCACGAGAGAGAGTGAGTGAAATGGCGAGAGAGTGAAACAGGCAGAAAGTACATTAATTTTAACGACATAATAAAATAAAATATTATTATTAATTAATCCGAGTGTCGTTTCACAACAGTGTGCCTTGTGGTCAATATTCAACAATAATGCACTTTTTTTTAGTCTGGGTCAAAGGGTCTAACAATCATTTGTTTCTCATATTTTCATTAAAAAGTTCAGACTTTTCATTGGGTCACGGACAAAACCACATCCATTTCTGATAAAATATGATAAAGGCGGCCTTTGGACGTGGTGATAATATTGCGAAAAATTCTATTCTGAAAATCTCTCAGGTAATATTATTATAATATTATTAGCAGAGATCCTACGGCAACATTTATTCCAATTGTATTAACACATAATGTATATTTTAATGAGTGGAATATCAATAAATATTTATTTGGAATCTCTAAAAAGAAATACAAAACAATAAATAAAAGGTGCTCTGCTGTACAGACGTACAGTAGGTTACAAGTGGGTCACTGTATAATGGATGGTATTAAATTTGAATTCAATGATATATCATCATTGTATAAGAAAAACGTTTCTGAGCGGAGACGATATGTAAGTCTATAGGTATAAGACATATTATATACTTATCCATGGTATAAAAAAAAAATTGTACCTATAATAAATTCCAAATTAATCATATCACAATATCCATTAGGTACTTATAACGCGTTATACATCAACAACAAACCCTGATTCTATCATAGATATATAATAGTGTACTTTAGAAATTTCAAGTACCCAAGAATAATATTATACAATCACAACGAAATAACTAAAATAGTTATTCCAGGTTTTTAATAATATGTAATTTCGTCCAAATTTGAACTTAAAATGACTATAAAAATAAACTGTGCTTATGTATTTTTTAGATTTTTTGGTAACAGAATAAACTACTTCCGTGGAATCTTGTTTCAAATTTTCAAACCTTAGATATAAAATTTGAACATTTTATACATTTTTAACTACAAAACAATTATTCAATTTTAAATTTGATAAATTTTGTCAAAATGTGATCTTTAAATGCTTATAAAAAAAAAATTGTGGGTCTGTATTTTTAATATTTTTCAACTGCTATTGTAAAAATATATCAGGAGCCTTGTATTAAATTTTTACACTTTTTGACCAAACAGATGAAACTTTTTTGATATTCATAGAAAAAAAAAAAATAAATTGAAATATGAAATTGTTCGTAAATAGCTCAAAAAAACCAAAATATTTTGAAAATGTTATCAACTATAAGAATTTATTGATAAAATAAACATCAGTAAAATTTCCATCTCATTTTCAAATCTACAGTTATTCGTTTTTGAATTACAACAAAATAAGAAAATCACTACATGAGAAATCGAGTGAATATCCAATGTTGTAAAAATTTGAATTTCAAACACTCATTAAAACTTAATTTGACTTTCTTCTAGCAATTTTTTTTTTGATAAAGGTAAACAAGCTTATGATTAATCTTGTATTACATTTTAAAATCTTAGATTTAAAAAGAAAATTGTTTATGAATTTCTAACTCAAAATAATTTGCAAACTTTCGTAATTTTTGCGTATTTTGTCAATATTTGAACTTTAAATGCTTATAAAAAAAAATTTTGACGATGGATTTTTAATCTTTTTTATCTGCCTTTGAAACAATATACTAGGAGCCTTCTATTAAACTTTTAAGCTTTTTTAACCAACAAATAAAATGTTATTGATATTCATAGAAAAAAAAACCTAAAAAAAATAGAAACTGAAAATGTCCCTAAACAACTCAAAATATTTGGAAAATGTTATGGTGTATA